TTGCTGCCAGACTCTCATGTCACCCGGAACCAGACTTGGGGCTGGTTAAGTGCTTTGTGCACTGGGACAATCTGTGGGTTCCAAGTTAAATAGGTGCCTCTGCGGAGCTTTCCTTAGATGCAGGGACACTGGTCCCTGCTCTTCTGGCTTTGGGGGCACAGGAGTTTGCCCGTCTGCCTTGTCCTCTCCTTGGCTTTTTGGCTGGGCCTGGCCCGAACCTTTCTTTTTTTTTTTTTTCTTTTTGGGTCACACCTGGTGATGCACAGGGATTCCTCCTGGCTCTGCACTCAGGAATTACTCCTGGCGGTGCTCAGGGGACCATATGGGATGCTGGGAATCGAACCCGGGTTGGCCGCATGCAAGGCAAATGCCCTTCCTGTTGTGCTGTTGCTCCAGCCCCTGGCCCGAGCCTTTCGTGCCATCTGTTCTCCTGCCCTGTTACCTGCCCTGTCCGGGTTCCATCCTCCAGGAGGCCTAGAGAGTGTCTGGGGCCTCGGGTGCCCTGTCCAAGTTGCTCCCCTGACTGACATCGGAGCCCTAAGAATGGCACAGCTGCCCCTCTGCACCCCAGCCCCTCATTGAGGTTTTGCCCTTTTTTCCTTTAAGAGGCCTCCCCCACACCCTCATCCCACACCTTCTCTTCCTGTTGCTGCTGTGAGTGTTGAAGTGAGCGGGGAGGAGGAACACAGTTGGCTGTAGACTTGGCACACTTGCAGATCCTGAAACACACTTCAGTGGTGGCACGGAAACATACTGGATTGTGGTGAGCCAGAGACTCTAAACCGCGGCCATAGGGCCTGGCCTGGGCGTGTGGGTGGTGGCAGTGGGGTGAGGGTGTGGGAGGAACAACGTGTGGTCCCCGGCCTGGCAGGCCCATGACCACAGAACCATCCCAAGCCCCCTTTGTTGGTGCCTTTCTCTCTTTGGGGGGGATGGGAATCCCAGGAAGAGAGAGTCCTAGCCTGAAGCCGGCATAGGAGGGCCGGCGTGGCAAAGATCTGGTGAAAGCCTGGGGGTGAATAATGGGGGGGTGTCAGGAGGAGAACAGAGGGCTCCACCCTCACATACAGCCAAGTGAGAACAATGCTGGATTCTTGAGTGCAGTGCCGAGGCCACTGGAGTGGGCAGACAGAAGGGAGGATAGGATCAGGGTGGTGGACGTGGTGTGGTGTGAGACTGTACCCTAAAAAAAGCAGTGGGGAGCCAGTTCACCTGGCTGAGCACAGGCTTGGTATGCAAGAGGCCTGGATTTCATCCGTGGCACTCCCCCCTCACCCCCATCCAACAGCTCCCACGGCGAGTAGCCCCTGAGCACTGCAATTGTTGCAGACGTCTGACCGAGAATCAGACACAGGCACTCGAGAGATTAGAGGGAGAACCAGCTTTAATTGCACCTGTGGACTTGATCTGGCTAACGCCCAGTTTAGTTGAATGCGGTTCCCACGAAGCTTGTCTAGGTGAGAGACAGGATACACGGATTCTGTGGGAACAGTTTTCTTATCATACACAATGGGGGCTTAGCAGACGTAGTGCTCCGTATAGTCAGTGATTAATACATTCATTTTAGGTTCTGCAGAGACATCTACTGATTGTTTCTGTGAGCCTGTTCCCTTCCTGCTCAAGCAACCAGATAGATCTGGCTCTTCTGCTCTGCTCCAGTCATAACTTCGTGATCCATATATGGCCTGTTCACCTTTGCCCAGTCCCTAGAATGGGTCACTCAGGTCCTGCCTCTAGTTTTCCTGCTTTTGCTCCCAATTTTCCGGCTACACTATGATTCTCTACTCTGAGGTTCAGGCTTCTTTTCTACAGCAGATATGGAAAATACTGAATCTTTGCCAGAGGACCCCCTCTTCTGGGGGTCCTCATTAACCGTGGTCAGGGAGCCTGGGGGTCACTCCCAGCCATCCTTGGCGCAGCTCTGATGACTGGGTGGTTCATTTCTCGGTCTCAGTGTTGTGGGCTGGCTTGGGACCTGGCCTTGTTGGGGCACCCCAGATCAAACCTGGGGCCTTTGTGAACACATGGAAGTTTCACATAATGGAGTAGCAAGACGCGGGGTCTGGTGAGATAGATGTAGGGGTCCAAGGGACAGAAGTCAGTCCAAGGCCCTAGCCGTCGAGTGAGTGGGGTTTTCATGCAGCAGTTTGTGGACAGACTTTGCCTCCACGGTCCCCAGATATATGCCAAAGGCAGCGACATGAGGATCCCCCAGGAGAGGCTGGTGGCATCACCCAGGGCTAATCAGATATCCATCTGGGGACCAGAGAGATGGCAAAGTGGACAAGGTCCTGTACCGCACCTGTTCCCTTGGGCACTGCCAGGAGATATCCTTGAGTACTGAGCCAGAAGTCAACCAAGAGCACTGCCAGGCAGGCGTGCCACCTCCCCATAACAAAACCACAAAGGAAGCCATGAACCTTGATCCCTGCCCCACACTCCCCCATGCACGCAGAGGGCTTCCCATGTGGAAGTCAAACTCACACCTTTATTCTTCTCTTTTCGGGTATGGGATGGGGGTGTTGGGTCACACCAGCAGTGCTCAGGAATTGCTCCCAGCTCTGTGCTCAGGAAAGATCCCTGCTTGGTGCTTAAGGGAAACATAGGCAGTGTCAGGGACTGAACCAGGACCCACCATAGTGGCTGCATGCAAGTGCCTTAGCTCACGCACTGACTCTCCACTCCAAACACAAACCTCACTGACCCAAGCAGCCACCATCCCATGGAAGTTTCTGGATGAAAGGAGCACCATTCCTCTGTGTCACCTCATCTGGGAGTCATGAGCATGTGCGGCTGGTGACACTTTGTGACTGTGATGGAGGGACTGTATTTGACTTGTTTTTTTTTTTAAGTTTTTTTAAGTTTTGGGGCCACACCCTACTATGCTCAGGGCTGACTCCTGGCTCTGTGCTCAGGGGTCACTCTTGGGGGGATCATCCGTGGTGTTGGGGATCAAGCCTGAGTCGGACATGTTCAAGGCGAGCTTCCTACCTGCTAGACTATCTCTCTTCCCCCTACTTACTGGGGCCACATCCTGTGGTACTCAAGGTCCACTCTTGTGCTTGGGAGTTGCTCCCGGTGATGCTTGGGGGTTGCTCCTGGGGAGCCTCCCAATATGTGCAGTGTGCTTTATATGCTCTCAGTTCCTGAGCTACTTCTCCAGCCCAGGGACCAAGTCTAGAGTTTGTTCTTTAATCAATTGACATTTTATTTCATTTGTTTTGTTTGGGCTGGAGCGATAGCACAGCGGGTAGGGCATTTGCCTTGCATGTGGCCGACCTGGCCAACCCGAGTTCAATTCCTCTGCCCTTCTCGGAGAGCCCGGCAAACTACCGAGAGTATCTCACCTGCACGGCAAAGCCTGGCAAGCTACCTGTGACATATTTGATATGCCAAACACAGTAACAAGTCTCGCAGTGGAGACGTTACTGGGCCCGCTCGAGTAAATCGATGAACAATGGGAGGACAGTGCTACAGTGCAGTGTTTTGTTTGGGGGCCATACCCTGGCGGTGCTCAGGCCTTGCTCTTGGCTCTGTGATCAGGGATCACTCCTGATGAGGACTGAACCCAAGTTGACCATGTGCAAGGCAAGCACCCTATCTGTTGAATTATCACTCCCACCCGACATCTCATTCTGAGTAATCCTGTGTGGTTAGCAGCTCCTGCATTGGAAATGTGTTTCTAACAAACTCTTTGGTGGGAAGATTTGATTCATTTGGGGGGAAGGTTCCCCTACTGGTGCTCAGGGATCCTGGAGGTCTCGGCCCAGCAGTGGGTCCTGATGGTTTGGGTGCTTGGACCCAGTCCTGGGTTATCGCTGGACTCAGCAATTCTGAGGGCTCTACTCTCCCTAGCTATGCTTGGGGGCCTGGTGTGAGGACCTTGCCTGCTGGGGACACACACGTCCGTCCTTTTAACTCCCTCCCTGCCCCTTCTTTCAAAAGACATTTTGTGTCAGCCGCACTGCTGGTGGGACTGAGGAGGCAGGTGGTGGCCAGGGTTGAACTCAGGGCCTTGCAGATGCAGACATGTGCCCTTCTGCCCTAGCAAACTTTTCCACAGTCTAAAAAAGCTTAGGAGAGGGACAGACATAAGAAAGACTGCACTCATCTGTGGAATATAAAGTAACAGGATGGGGGACTAGGACCCAAGGATAGTAGAGATAAGGACCAGGAGGATCGCTTCACGGCTTGGAAGCTGGCCTCACTCACATGCTGGGGGAAAAGGCAGCTCAGATAGAGAAGGGACCACCAAGTAAAGGATGCTTGGAGGGCTCGCTCGGGATGGGAGATGCGTGCTGAAAGTAGAGTATAGACCAAACATGATGGCCACTTAATACCTCATTGCGGACTGCAACACCCTAAAGGAGAGAGAGAGAGAGAGAGAGAGAGAGAGAGAGAGAGAGAGAGAGAGAGAGAGAGAGAGAGAGAGAGAGAGACAAAGAGAGTAAGAAGGAAGAGGGGGTATGGGGGTGGGTGGGAGGGATACTAGGAACATTGGTGGTGGAGAAAGGGCATTGATGGTGGAGAATGGGTACTTGATTGTTGTATGACTGAAATGTAAGCACGAAAGTTTGTAAGTCTGTAACTGTATCTCACAGTGATTCATTAAAAAATCACTGTCACTGTCTTCCTGTTGTTCATCGATTTGCTCAAACGGGCCCAGTAATGTCTCCATTGTGAGACTTGTTACTGTGTTTGACATATCGAATACACCACAGGGAGCTTGCCAGGCTTTGCCGTGTGGGTGAGATACTCTTGGTAGCTTGCCAGGCTCTTCGAGAGGGGCAGAGGAATCGAACTCGGGTAGGCGGTGTTGGCTGCGTGCAAGGCAAATGCCCTACCTGCTGTGCTACCACTCCAGCCCCATTAAAAAAAAATAATAAAAAAGGTTAGATTTGGATCAAAGCTCGTCAATCAGGTTCAGGTTCCTGCACCCCCACCCCCTCCCCCATCGAGGGCTACTCATCCCTGACGTGTCCGTCCTTCTGTCTCCACAGAGCAGACGAGCTGTGTGTCTCTCCAGTCAGACGTGTGTGCTGAGGATGGAGTCAGTGGTGCAGTGAGCAAGGCCCAGCAGCTGGCCCGGAGCAGTGCCCATGGGGACCCGGCCGGCCCCCTCCTCCCTGCTGGGCAGGCTCAGAGAGGCCAGAGGCCCCCGGGGGAGGACCTCGGCAGACAGATGCCCCCCAGGCCGCGGGGTCTTCTGACAAGGCCTGCCGGGGGGCGTGCCAAGGGCAGAGGATGCCAGCCAAGGGGCGATACTTCCTCAACGAGGGGGAGGGCGGCCCCGACCAGGATGCGCTCTATGAGAAGTACCGGCTCACTGGCCAGCACGGGCCGCTGCTGCTCACGCTGCTGCTGGTGGCAGCCACTGCCTGCATTGCCCTCATCATCATCACCTTCACCCACCAGGTGAGCAGGGTGGCCGGGAACCTCACATCTGGCCCTGGGTGCCGGTGGCCTCGGCTGGCTACGCTCTCATCCGGGCTGCTAGGAGACAGGGGGTCTGGTTTAATTTCCTGTCCAAGTCGGGAAGGCTTCAGAGGGCCCACCAGCAGGGCCACCGACAGGTTTTCCTCCATCCCACCAAGAGTTTGGATCGTGGGTGGGTTCAGACAAGGACGGCCAGGAGACTTGGCGCCCACATCCATGGTGGATGCCATCAGTCAGTGCCCACAAGTCTTCTCCTGAAGGTGCCCTCTGGATGTGGTGTCACTCACATCTAACCAGACATGCCCTGGTGCAGCCCAGAGGCTGCTGGGCACTGGAGATGTGGCCAGTGGCCAGTGTGACTGAAGAACTGGATTTTCACTGTATTATGTTTGCTTGTTTGAGGGCCACACCTAGCAGTGCTCAGGGGTTACTTTTTTTTCCCCTCTTTTTGAGTCATACCTTATTATCTCATTCCTACTTTGGACAGACTGGCAGGCTACCGTATGTAGCCTGCCCACACGGCAGAGTCTGGCAAACTCCCCGTGGCGTACCCAATATGCCAAATACCAGTAACAATGATGGGTCTCATTCTCCTAAAGAGCCTTGAATATAATCTCAGGGCTAGGATGAAGGAGACGTTACTGGGGCCTGCTCGAGGCAATCAACGAATAACAGGATGATTTGTGATTTGTGATTTTGAGTCATACCCGGCGATGCCTAGGGGTTACTCCTGGCTCATGCATTCAGGAATTACTCCTGATGGTGCTTGGGGGACCATATGGGATGCTGGGAATCGAACTCGGGTTGGCCTCATGCAAGGCAAATGCCTCCCCACTGTGCTATCACTCCAGCCCCTTGGGTTACTTGGCTCTGAGCGCAGGGGTCACTCCTGGCAGGCTCAGGGAAGCCCATGGGGAGCCGGGAATGGAAGCTGGGTCTGCTATGTACAAGGCAGGCAAGCGCCCTCCCTGCTGTGCTATCACGGCAGGCCCTTCACTGTATCCTTGATGATGGCCACTGTGATTTTGAGCAGCCGCGCGTGGTTTGTGGCAGCTGCTGGGGAGGGTAGAGATCAGGAAGGAAAGCTCAGAGGCCGCGGGGCTGCCCAGAGCCGTGTGAGAAGTGGCAGAGCTTGTGGGAGATCCTGCAATCCTGTGCCTTCGTGGACGCAGACTTCAGGGAAGCTGCTTCCTCGCTCCTGCCTGCTGCCCCCTGGGTCTGCCTCTCTGCTCCTGGGGCTTTGGGGATCCTGAGCAAACCAGGCGCTCTTCCCGCTATGCCCGGCAGCACCGCCCCCTGCACCTTTGCTCGGCTCCTCCCGTGTGAAGGGCTTGAGCATTGTCGCCTCATGAACCTGTGTCTGTCTGCTCTTTAACAGCTGGGGGTGTGCGGCCTGGGTTCAGCCCTTAGCACCATCTGGGACCCTGAACTCTATTGTGAGTGACCCCCAAGCACTGTCAGCTCTCTCTCTCTCTCTCTCTCTCTCTCTCTCTCTCTCTCTCTCTCTCTCTCTCTCTCTCACACACACACACACACATACACACACACACACTCTGTGTCTCTCTCACACACAAATACTCCCACATACACACTGTCACCTATACATTCTCATACATACATGCACACTCTGACACACACACACTCACATAAACACACACACTCTCACACTCACATACACTCACACTCATACACTCACACTTACATACTCACACGTGATCTCTCTCACACACACTCATTCTCTTTCACATATACTCTCTCACACACACACTCACACACTCTCACTCTCTCTCTCACACACACACACACACTCTCACGCACATTCACACACACACACTTTCTCTCATACACAACAATCTCTCTCTCTGTTTCTCTCTCACCCCCGCAAGGCTTTGCAAGCTCTGCTACTGGGTCCTGCACCTCTCTCCTGCAGTCCAGAGCACCCTGGGAACTGGGGGACCTCAGGGTAAGGGGGCGGGAGAGCCAGCATCACAGAGTTGGGCTGTGAGAGAGGTTTGGGGAAGGGAGCCCCGACCCTTAGCAATCCAGGCAGGCTTTCTGGAGGAGGCGGAGCCCACTGGGGAAATCAGTCATTTCTGTGTCCGTTTGTCCCTCTCAGGACCCCTCTGGACACCCCTCTGTCCTGGGGATGGCTTTTGTGACCCTGGCTGTGTGCCTGGTTCTCTCCGTGCTGGTGTATGTCGAGTGCCTTGTCCGGCGTTGGCTCCGGGCTTCGGCACTGCTCATCTGGGCCTGCCTCCTGGCGCTGGGCTACGCGCTACTCTTCAGCTTCCGGACCAGAGAGGCTTGTGCCTGGGAGCAGGTAATAGGGTGGGGGGTCCCGGTGCCCACTGCCAGCCTGGCCCTCCTGCCCGCTGCAGGCCGGTCCCTCTGCAGAGCAGGCTATGGTGGGGGCGCTGGCCTTGGGTCCTTCATGTTCCATGAGTCAGAGGTGGGGGCCAGGGGGGCTGCTCTCGTTCTTCGGCATTTGTGTCAGCGAGGACCAGGGAGAGCCTGCACTCGGCTGTGTGGCTGTGACATTTCTAGGTGCACCCTGGCTTGGTGACAAGGACTCATCTCTGCTCAGGGAGGGAAAGAGGCACGGACTGTCTGGCCAGGGAAGGCGGCCTTGGCGGGTCCTTCTCGGGGCGCCAGCAGCAAGGCCAGGCCCTACTTCCTGCTTGACTCCTCCTGGTGCTCATCTTCAGGCGACTGCTCCCACGGGGTGGGGGGTGGGTGGGGCGGGCAGAGGTGGCAGCTGTAACCCACGCTGGCACCCGGGACCCCCACCCCTGGCTGGAGCAGAGCCTTATCCACCAGCTGAAGACACAGCAGCCCCTGGAGGGACAGTCCCAGGCAGAAAGGGTGGCACCCTCCAGGGATGGGACTGGGAGGCTGGTGGGGGCTACAGGCTGGAGGCTGGGGAGGGGCTGTTCCGAGAAGGTGGGGGTCCGCCAGCGCAGTCTCTCTGGGCGTAGAGGGCGGCGTGGCGCTCCCCAAGCCTCCATCCTGGGCTTCCCGCCCGGGCCCCAGATCTGCAGGAGGAAACAGTGACTCATGCTGGCCTGGGCTCCACTCTCTTTTCTAGCCCAGGCTCACTGGGCCTCAGCATGTGGGGGGCAGGGATCCCCCCAACACAGACGTTGCTAGTGAATGGCTCTGACTATTCAAGGGTTGGGGATTTGGACATCGGAGACGGCGCCCAGAAAGACAGGGGTTGCAGGGCTCTGAGCCCAGTTGCATCCCGACTGTGTCCACAGTGGGGTGGAGGTGGGCATCCGTGAGCCTCACTGTGCACGCCCTCCCCACCTCCCAAGGTGCCTTACTTCCTGTTCGTGGTCTTCGTGGTATACACGCTGCTGCCCTTCAGCATGGCCGGAGCCGTGGCGGTTGGGGTCATCTCGGGCATCTCTCACCTCCTGGTGATCGCCGTGCTCAGGGGCAGCTCCACTGGGCCGAGCGCCGACCTGGGGCTGCAGGTGAGCTGTTGGTGGGTCTGGTGGGGCGGAGGACGCAGGCAGGCTGCCAGCCGGGTCCCCTCCCTGCCCTCACTGGGCAGCCCCTGCCCTCCTTCCTGGCTCAAGGTTCTCCCTGAGTTTCCTTCCCGAGGTCCCCGCCCGATGTCCCTCCACCCTGCTCCATCCAGACAGGACCTTGTCTGTGTCTGAGTTGAGGGAGTGACACCTCATCAGCCGCTGACTCAGAGCCACTTTCTGACCACTGACCTTGGGCTCTGGGTTCGGGGAGGTGCCACTCCTGCCCCTGTCCCCCACCCCTAATTGAGCTATTTCCCTGGCCTCTGTGAGCTGGTCCCATTGGCTAAGGATGACTCAGTAGGAGATCAGCATCTGTCGGGGGCCTCAGTTTCCCTGCCTGCCCCAAGATGGATGCCAGCCCAGAGGGCTGGAGGGACTTGGGGATGGGACATGCCCTCACCAGCTCACCAGGGGCCTACTGACACCGCCTTGGCCCCCAGCTGCTGGCCAATGCTGTCATCTTCCTGGGCGGGAACCTGACGGGCGCCTTCCACAAGCACCAGCTGCAGGACGCCTCGCGCGATCTTTTCACCTACACGGTCAAGTGCATCCAGATCCGCAGGAAGCTGCGCATCGAGAAGCGCCAGCAGGTGGGCACGGGCTGAACGCAGCCCCCGCCCTGCTCCTTTCTCGAGGGACACTAGGTGCTTGTTGGGTGGTCCGTGCAGCTCACCCCTGGTGGCCGGCGGGCGTGGGGGCAGGGCTAGCGCAGCAGCAGTGGTGGAGGCCCCCCCACCAACTCCGTGTGGAGTCGGGCCGGCCTGACCCTGATGGCCCCGCATGCCGACGCCCCTTGCGTGCAGGAGAACCTGCTGCTGTCGGTGCTGCCAGCCCACATCTCCATGGGCATGAAACTGACCATCATAGAGCGGCTCAAGGAGCGTGGGGACCGCCGCCACATGCCGGACAACAACTTCCACAGCCTCTACGTCAAGCGGCACCAGAACGTCAGGTGGGCAGGGCAGGGTAGGGCCTGGGGCTAGGGGCAGGCCGGGGGCCAGTGGGCAGAGCATTGTCCGGGTGGCAGGATCCTTCGGGGCAGGCAGGACCTGCATCCAGTGGGCGGGGTCTTTCGCAGTGGGCGGGGCCTGTGCGTGGCAGGCGTGGCCTGTGGTCAGTGGGCGTGGCCCCTGGTAGTGAGAGCACATCTGTGGTGGGTGGTGCCTTTTCTGGTGGGCGTGGCCTGTAGTCAGTGGGTGTTGCCTCATTGGTGAGCAGTCTGTAGTGGGTGGTGCCCTTTCTGGTGGGCGGAGCCCGGGTCCTGTTGGTGGAGCATGATCTGGTGGGCGGGGCCTGTGTCCAGTGGGCGAAGCCTGGTGTCTGGTGAATGGAACCTGTGTGTGGTGGGCGGAGCCTGTGTCTGATGGGCGGAGCCTGGGTGTGCAGTGTTTCAGAGAAGTGGCCCATCAACTTCCCAGGATCCTAGTTGGGGTAAATCCAGTCCTCTTCCTGGGACTCAGTGTCCCCGTTTGTTTCCCTAGTGAGCGGGATTAGATCTGTTTGGTATTGGAGAAGATGTAGCCCCTCAAATCGTAAGGTCTTGCGTACTTAAGGGATTGTAAAAAACAAACGGGCCTTTTAGATGATTCTCAGAGGGGTGTTGTTTCTCCCAAAGGGACTTGGTAACTGCCAAGTGCCCCAATGCTGACAGCTGTCTGTGGCTGTTTGAACAGGGGTCTTCTTTGAGTGTGCCCACCTCAGAGGAGACCACCCTGTCCTTTTTGAGGCTCAGCTCCCCTGTCACTTACACCCCCGCTGAGCCCACTCCCTTCCCTCTGGGCTGGGATGGTCCAGATTCACTCCCCACCCCGCTCCAGTCCCCCTCAGTCCAGCGTCCGTGCTCTGACCCTCCCGCTGTCCCCCACTGTACCCCAGCATCCTCTACGCTGACATTGTGGGCTTCACCAGGCTGGCCAGTGACTGCTCCCCCAAAGAGCTGGTGGTGGTCCTGAATGAACTCTTCGGCAAGTTTGACCAGATCGCCAAGGTGAGCACTTGGTCCATGCCAGCCCTGTCCTCTGCTGAGGAGGGGTAAGGCTCCTCCCTCTGCTCTCCCCTGAGTCGCAGGAGTAAGCCAGGAGACTGAGGCTCAGGCAGCCCTGGCTGAGAAAAGAGCCGGACAGCTGGAGCCAGAGCCTGTGTCAGGGGTCCCCACCACATTCCAGGCAGTAGCTGTGTGCTTGCAAGGCAGTGGTGGTGGTGGGGCCCACAGGAAGAGTGGACAGGTTTAGTGTGGGGGGGGGGCAGTGTCCTGCCCAAACATCAGGCTAGGTGGACACCAGACCTAGTGGGCCGGGAGAAAGGGTGACTGAAGTAGGATGAAACCGTGGTTCTAGGAGGGAAACCAGCTTTTGGGGAGTCTGCAGGAAGAAGGAGGGGTGAGGTAGAAAGGGGGATGGGATTGGGATCTCCTTCCTCCTCCCTCCACTCCCACCCACCCACACACACCGGCCCCTGAGTGTCCTTGATGCTACAGTCAGTCATCAAAAGATCCAGGACTGGAGTGGTAGCACAGCAGGTAGGGCGTTTGCCTTGCATGCGGCTGACCTGGGTTCGATTCCCAGCATCCTATATGGTCCCCAGAGCACCGCCAGGAGTAATTCCTGAGTGCATGAGCCAGGAGTAAACCCTGTGCATTGCCAGGTGTGACCCCCCCCCCAAAAAAAAAAGATTGGCCAAACTCAATCAACTGAAAAATTGAGCATCCTTAGCAGTCGCCCAGTTCCCATACCCCCTGGGCATTTTCCTGCAGGACCCCAACCTCCGTCCATACCCCCAAGCCCCGCTGGGGTGCCCCCTCATAGCATATGCATCTCCCAGTCTCCCGGCGAGATGTGGTCCCTCATCTCGTGTGGCTGACCCTTGGTTGAAACGTCTGCCCCCTCTGTTCTCGGCTCCCCACTTACTCCTCTGAGGCTGTCCCCAGGGCTTGGGATATTCTCCTGCTGGTGCTGCCCCCTCTGGTTGCTCCCACTTCATTTGGGTCCTTGCTCAGAGGTTACCTCCAACCCGTCCCATGGCCAGTTTTCTCCGGGCCCCACTCAAAGTGGGTGTCTGGAGATGTTGGTCTGGCTGGTATGTGAGCTACGTGGCCGCGGGGAACTGGTCTGTTACTGCCAAGCCCTGGGCAAGGGCCCAGACATCCCAGACTCAGGCAGCCGGCCTGGACCCCGGGCACTAGCGCCTCTCCTGACAGGATGCCATGTGTCCCAGGCCTCCACCAGGCCAGCAAACAGCTGGAGGGCCTGGTACCCTAGGAGAAAGCCCCTCCTTACCACCAGGAAGAGTCATGGGGGCAGGGGTGGTCCCCAAGGCCTATCTGATCTGACCTGGCCTCTTCCCACTCCCTCAGGCCAACGAGTGTATGCGGATCAAGATCCTGGGGGACTGCTACTACTGCGTGTCAGGGCTGCCTGTGTCCCTGCCCACTCACGCCCGCAACTGTGTGAAGATGGGGCTGGACATGTGCGAGGCCATCAAGTAGGTCCCGTGCTTGTTCCAGGGACCCCGTGGGGATGCACTGTCTGTGCTTTGCAGAGGGGCTGGGGGCAGGTGCTGGCCTGAGTCCTGCCGCGCCCCCTCACCCCCCAGTCCAGACTCTAAGTTCCTGAAGTGCGGCGTGGGGTGTGGGAGTGGCCGTTGGGCAGGTTCTGGGGGGTGTCTCAGGCCCCACTTCAAGGCTCAGTGGTGCCCTGCTGGGTGGGGTAGGGGTGGGGACTGTCCCCTAGGGCCCCCCAGGCAGTGCTGCCCAGACCCCCTCCGGTGGCACCTCCTCCCAGCCCGCTCCCTGCAGGACACCCTCACTGTCTGCACAGCTGGGGGAGCCCCCCGTGGTGGCCCAGCCCTCCAGAGTTGGGGACACAGCCTGCTCCTTTGCCCCTGTTTGGTGGTGACTCGTGTCCTGGGAAGCTCTAACTTCGCCCTGAATGCTCTGGGCAGCTGTTTCCCGAAGGAGGGGGTAGAAAATCCCCAGAGACCCTCAGATTATTCCCTGCTGGGGTGGGGGTTAGGTCCCTCACTGCCGAAAGCCTTTTCAGGACCCCCTACCCCCACCCCCCCGCCAGCTGGGCTGTCCCATCCGTGGCAGATGGTGCAGAGCTGAGGTGCTGGCCCTGGTGGCGTGGCTGGGAAGTGCCCCCGTGGGCTGGGCCCCGCATGTGGTCTGTGGCTCCGGTCATGTGGAGTGACACGGCTGTGCTCAGGCAGGTGCGGGAGGCCACGGGTGTGGACATCAGCATGCGTGTGGGCATCCACTCTGGCAACGTGCTGTGTGGCGTCATCGGGCTGCGCAAGTGGCAGTATGATGTGTGGTCGCATGATGTGTCCCTGGCCAACAGGATGGAGGCGGCCGGAGTGCCGGGGTGAGTCCAGGATGGGGGGGTCAGTGGCCAGGGCCCTCTCCAGGTGGGGGTGGTCAGAGGCTTGGCCACTTTCTGTCTGGGGGTCAGAGGGGACCAGGAGGAAGTTGGGGGTGGGCCATGGGGGCGCCTGCTGGGTAGAGGACCCTGGCCGGGTGGGGGCGCTACTCTCTGACTCGGTTTCCCTCAGGCGGGTGCACATCACCGAGGCCACCCTGAACCACCTGGACAAGGCCTATGAGGTGGAGGATGGTCACGGGCAGCAGCGGGACCCCTACCTGAGAGAGATGAACATCCGTACCTACCTGGTCATCGACCCCCGGGTACGCAGGCCGGGCCAGGGCCACGGAGTGGGGGTGTATGGGGTCTTACTCGAGCAGCTGCTCTCCCTTTGGGGCTGAGCAGCTCTGCCCCTGGGGGTGCCGTGGGCCCCCCGCCCCCATGGGAGGACATGCACCCTGGTGGGGGGTGCAGCAAGGTGTACCCCACTCCCTCGAAAAGATCTCATGGGGGTCCCACTCAGACTCTCAAGAGATGCTTTCCAGAGCACCAGTGACATGTGGGCGGCCAGGAAGGGGTGTGTGTGGGGGGGTCTGTGCCCTGCCCTTTGTCCTGTGGGCCCCGCCGCTGGCCACCGTCCCAGCAGGCTGCTCCATCAGTATGAGCTGTGGGCACGTCCTTTTCGGGGCTCACTCAGGAATGTGCCCCCAGCACTCTTTCCCGCTCTGCTCGGAACGGGGCTCTGGTCAGCTACTGTCTGGGGGCAGGGGAGGGGGGAGGAGCGGGGATGGCTGGTCTGGGAGCTGCTCCCCAGGGTCCCGGCCTCAGGGCTTCTCGGGAACTCCAGGGCCCCCAGGGGCTGGAGTACAGCCCAGTCCCATGCCCCGACCTCCCTGCAGACCCTGCCCGCTTCTGACCCCCTCTTTTCTCCGGGGGCTCGTCTCCCTGCTGTCCCACTGCCCGCCCCACCCCCACCTCAGCCCTCCGCAGGACCCTCCCACCACACTTCTCCCCTGTCCCCCTGACCTGCTCTCGCCTCATTTTGTTGGTGGTGGCCTCATTTTGTCAGTGCGAGCTCAGCGTGGGCAGGCTGGAGGCGGGGGCTCTTCCCCAGGCTGTACCCAGGCCGAGAGGGTATTCAGCTGGCTAGTGAGGGAAGCGGGCAGAATCCTGCCCTGGGGGACAGCTGGCACCATGCAGGCCCCTCCAGAGGTGCCCGTGGATATGCTCTTTGCACAAACAGTGCCGGAGCTGAGGGCCTGCCCGTTCCTGGCGTCACCTGCCGCTTCCCTGGGGAGGACCCAGACCCTTGGGCCAGGAGGGGGCTACCCTGGACCCTCCCTGAGCTGCTTCCCCAGTGTCCGGGCAGAGATGCTTCAGGCCCCACACAGCCCAGCTGGGACTGCCTGGGCCCAACCTTTCCCACCTTTTCCCTGTCCATACACTCCCTTCGGGTGGCCACAGGGCTTGTTGCTTCTCTGGCACAGCAGCGACACAGACTCACCTTAGTTATATTGTGTGTCTGTGTGTGTCTGTGTTTGTGCATGAATGTGCACAAATGTGTGTGTGCCGCTGCACCCCCAGTCTCCTGGAGGCTGGATTCCCTGCCCTCTTTTTGGCAGGGTATGGGCCTGAATACATGCCCTCCTGAAAGGGTCGGAAGTTTCTGGGAAGTTGCTTGAAGGCTCAACTGGGGTCTGGGTGCTGGTCCATGTGGGTACCCCAGGGTCGCTGTTTTCCAAACAGACCAGGTAGAGCGGGGTGGCTCTGGTTGCCTTGGGGATCTCTCCCTTCCAGTTCAGGCTTTCCTCCCCCCCGACTTTTTTTCTTTTTGGGTCACACCTGGAGATGCACAGGGGTTACTCCTGGCTCTGCACTCAGGAATTACTCCTGGTGGTGCTCAGGGGACCATATGGGATGCTGGGAATCGATCCTGGGTCAGGTTTGTGCAAGGCAAACACTGTTCCCACTGTGCTATCACTCCAGCCCCTGTGCTCATTGCTCTTAAGTGATGGGGGAGCAGGGCTGCCTGGGCTGTGCCCCTCGCTCAGCACACCATTCCACATCAAGGGGCAAGGGGTGAGGCTTCAGGGGCTACCGAATGGGCACCCTGGAATATTGCCCCTGGGGGTGCATCTGTGGGCAGGGCCTGGGCCCGTAGACCCCAGGGGTGTCGTCTAGTTCCAAGGAGTCTCGGTGGCCTTGGGACTTCGGGCTTATTTCCTGGCTGTATTGGGGGTCTGGGGGCCACGCCTAGGGGCTTCCCCACACAGGGACTGGGGAGCCAGGCCTGGTCCCGAGGGGCGGCATTTGCTCCCCGTGCCGGCCGGCGGGTGCAACAGTTGCGTCTGTGCCCGCAGAGCCAGCAGCCGCCCCCGCCCAGCCAGCACCTGGCCAAGCCCAAGGGAGATGCCACCCTGAAGATGCGGGCGTCCGTGCGCATGACGCGCTACCTGGAGTCCTGGGGTGCCGCGCGGCCTTTCGCACACCTCAGCCACCGTGAGAGCGTGAGCAGCACCGAGACGCTGGTGCCCAATGGGCGGAGGGCCAAGGTAGGGCCCTGCCCCCGGGATCAGGCCTCGCTGTCTCCATCTGTGAAACGGGCGGGCGCCCTCTGCACCTCCGCCTGCCCCGAGCCTGGGGGAGTGAGCGTTTGGAGGATGTCCCCCCCACCCCAGGTGGCTGCGGGGTCCCTGCTCTTGGCTCCCCAGCAGAGAGGTCAGGCCTCGCTCAGGCTCCCTGTAGCTTGGATGTCCCCGACACCCTTTCTCGAGGTGCTGGGGGCTGCAGACTCCCCACCTGTGTCCTCATCTCCTTGCAGGCCGTTCCCCTGCGGCGCCACCGGACCCCTGACAGGTACGTGTGACATCCTCCATCTCTCTCCTAAGCTAGGCCTTGCTTCCTATTCAAACTCTGCTTTGCCCCCGCCGACCCCCCTTTTCCTCAAGGCAGGCTGCCTGGACCAGCCCTGAGCATGGCATGTGGCATGCGTGGGTTTGGGGGGACCAAATGTTTCTCGCAGTAGCACTCAGCGATGCACCCGCGGTGTGCACACATCTGTCGGGGCTGGTGATGAGGGGGTGCTGGGCTCAGTGCTGGCTCTGGGCCACTGGGGGCCATCCCCTGCTTCCTGCTGGCCAGTGCTGCTGAGCCTTCACTTGCCCTCTCTGGGCTGGTCAGAGTCGGGGACCCTGGCCCTGGGGTGACCCAGCGGTGGGCTCTGATTCCAGGAGCGCGTCTCCCAGGGGGCGGGCGGAGGACGACGCCTCTGACGAGGAGATGCTGTCAGCCATTGAGGGGCTCAGCTCCACGAGGTGAGGGTCCGCCCCTCCCCCCACTGCTCCTCCCACCCCTCCCCGTCCAGGATGCCCCATGTGCCACCTGCCTTCCCTCGTGGTGCCTCCTGCCACCCGCTGCCCCACCAGGATGCCCCCAGCCCCCACTGCCTGTCCACAGGCCCTGCTGCTCTCGCTCCGACGACTTTTCCCGCTGTGGGTCCATCTTCCAGGAGCCAGGCTTCGAGCGAGAGGTAAGGCTCTGCCTTGGAGCTGGGTGGGGTTCCCTGGAGGCCTGGGCTCAGGGGGGCTGTGGGTGCTCACACCAGCCAGTTCTCCCCGGCCCCACCGTGTAGCTGACATGCTGGGGTGGGCTCGGGTGCTGAGGCACCTCACACCCCCAAATCCTCATCCCTCCAAATCTTTGCACCCCTCAATCCTCGTGCCTCCCCTGAGTCCTCATGCTCATGTCAACTCATCAGGGTCTTCCCTAGGGGGCAGGGGCACCCGGCTGAGTCTGGGGCTTGGGGACCCTCTGGGCCTGAGGCTGGCTTAGTGAGGGGTCCCCAGACACCTCCAGGAGTGAGGGCCTGCCCGGGGCAGTCTTGAGGAGCCCTGACTTTCTTCCCCGAACTGGAGGCAGCCCCTCATGTCCCTCTGTGCTCCCCAGTACCGCCTGGTGCCCATACCCCGGGTCCGTCTCTACTTCGCTTGTGCTGGCGTTGTCTTCACTTGCATCCTGCTCGTCCATGCCCTGCAGATGCCCAGGTCAGTGGGTGGCATGATGGCATAGCCCTCAGGGCTGGGAACAGGAATCACCTGGGGGGATCAGTGGAGTGAGGGGCCAGTTGTAAGGGGTTGTGTGAGAGTCCACTCAGGGCCTGATGGGGCTGCCTCGTTCTTTTTTTTTTTTTTTTTTTGCTTTTTGGGTCTTGCCCGGTGATGCTCAGGGGTGACTCCTGGCTCTGCACTCAGGAATTACTCCTGGCGGTGCTCGGGGGACCATATGGGATGCCGGGGATCGAACCCGGGTCAGCCGCGTGCAGGGCAAATGCCCTACCTGCTGTGCTATCACTCCAGCCCTGGTGCCTAGTCCTTGATTGACCTTCTGCAGGCTCTGTCCAGCTGCATCTCCTGTCACCTGTGTTTGGCCCTGGGAGGGCCTGGGGCCCAGTCTTGCCCCTGTGGTGGGAGTGTGACTGTGTGGGGAAGGGCTGCCGTGGGGTGGAGGCTGGGGAGGGTGGGGGTCAGAAGGTGCTAAAGAGAGAAGACTGGGCTTGCGTAGCCCCAGGGAGAAGCTGGGGCAGCTGTGTTCTCGCTACCTGGGATGAGAGCGGGACCAGGCATGGCTCAGGCTGTGCTGAGTCTCAGGTGCCATCAGGAAGGGGCAGAAGGTGATGGAGCCAGAGAATGGGGAGGCGGGCAGGGGGTGCCCCTGCTGGATCTGTCTCTCCTCCCCCCAGGAAGGCAGCTCTGGGGGTCTCCTTTGGGCTGGTGGCCTGCGTGCTGGCACTGGCACTGGGCCTGTGCTTTGCCGACGAGTTTCTGGTGAGTGGGGGCTGCCCACCGCGGGGCCCCTCCCGGGTGCCCGCACAGATGCTGTTCTGGGGGCTGCTCGGGTGCAGCCCAGGGGTGGCCCTGCCTGTCTGAGTGGCCCTGCGCACAGGGTGGTCCCCCTGGGTGGGGACCTCGGGCCGGCTCTCCCTCAGTCCCTGACCATCACCCCGCCATCCGTGGCCCCGCAGAGGTGCTGGCCCGCCTGGACGATGCTGCGTGCCCTGTCCGAGAGCGTGGAAACACAGCCCCTGCTGCGCCTGTGCCTGGCCGTGCTGACCACGGGCAGCCTGTTGACCGTGGCCATTGTCAACCTGGTGCGTTGTGGGGTGGCGGGGCAGGGTGGGAGGCTGGGTGGGCGGCTCGTGCCTGGGGGACTCTGGACTCTAGGATCTGGCGCTCGAAGCTACGTGTGGCTAACCTGGGGCTCCGGGCTGCTCTGAGCACCCCAGCCGCGCTTCCCGACCAGGATGCGGGGCCCCCGCAGGGCCTTGCAACCAACCCCACAAGGTTGAGGTCGAGATTTCAGACTCTCACATCCTGGTTCAGCCCCGCCCCCCTGGGGGACGTTTGCCCCACCTCTGAGTCTCAGTTTCCCCACTAGCCATGGGCGATCCTGGCAGGAGGTGTGGGGGGGGGGGGGGGCGGGCATGTGAGATTCCCTCGGCTCCACCCTGGTGCTTCTCGGGGGCTGTGGGGTGCTGGGATGGGAGCCGGGTCTCCTGCGGGCATGAGCTCGGCCTGCTGGTTGCTGCTGACCGGTGCCCCCAGCAAGGGTGCTCCGCATCCCCACCCTGCCCTTGTCCATGCCCCTTCCTCCCTGTGCCCTCTGCTCTGGGGTGCTTGCTTGTTTTCTACCTGGGTCGCCCATCACAGCCTCCTGACTGCCCTTTGGGACATTCTCCCCTGCAGCGACTGGTGTCCACCCCACTGTGCGCCCCCAACCAGACAGACCCAGGCCTGAGGGTGGGGGCCGACCCCCAGGACACCCTGTGTGAACTCCCGGTGAGTGTGCCCACCCCGCCCCCCCCCCCACCCCGACTCCCTGGCACCGGGGGTGTGAACAAGCAGAGTTCAGTCACCTTAAGGAGCACCTGCATCCCCGGGTAGGCACCTCGGTCTGGGGCAGGCACATGTGGTCTGGGACAGAGATGTCCTTTGGGGAAGAGAAGCTCAGGCAGAACTGACTTTTGTCACACTCACACTCTACTAGCCATGTGTATGTGTGTGTGTGTTGAGTCACACCTGGCAGTATTCACGAATCACTCCCGGCTGTGTGCTCAGGGGTCTCTCCTGGTGGGCTCAGGGGACCCTACGGGGTGCCGGGGATCGACCTTGGGTTGGCCATGTGCAGTAAGCACCCAACCCGCTGTACTCTATCCCGGGACCCTGCCTTTCACCACCATTAAATTAAATGCATTGAGCGGGGCTGTGGCTCAGTGGTTGCACGTGGGGGCCCTGGTTTTGAAGCCCGGCACCACCTGGTCCTCAGAGCACTGCTGGACATGACCCCCGAGCACCTGTCTAACCGGGTGTAGCCTCCGAGTGCCCTCCTGTGTGTGCTCAGACCCTCAGACAGAAACAGGCATTCAGGATGCCCCGAGCCCCAGTCTCCGGTGTGGGCGTGTGGCTGCCTGGGCTCTGCGGGCTCCCACCCTGGGGTGACTGTGGGTGGGGGCTGTCTCCCCAGTATTACACCTGCAGCTGCATCCTGGCCTTCATCGCCTGCTCTGTCTTCCTGAGGATGAGCCTGGAACTGAAGGTGGTGCTGCTGACCGTGGCCTTGGTGGCCTACCTGGCAGTCTTCGCCTCCCCGTGCCGGGACCAGTGTGCTGTGGCCAACTTCACCCAGACCACCATCAGGTGGGCCCGGGGCGGCACCTGCTTGGGTGTCAGTGTCATCTCACGGGTGCGCCCCCACCCCAGAAGGGGCAGCCGCGAGGGGCTGACTCACAGACGCTCTTGGGGAATGGACGCTCCTGGTCCCACGGAGGCCACGGGGCTCCTCTTGCCCTGCTGCCCATTTGGGGTGGGGGCAGGGTCCCAGCTCCTGCACCTGTGTCCTCGAGTTTTGGGAAGAGCTTGTCTGTGCCCAGGGACAGTATGGCACCTTTACACGGGAAAGACAGGGCCTGTGTGGCTGGGGAAAGGAGGCTCGGGCCCTGGTGGATTGAGATGGGGTCTGCCTGGCTCACCCTCAACTTTCCCACCTCGGTGTGTGCCTGTGTGTGTGCGCGCGTGGATGTGTGTGTGCTAGATGTGTGCGCGCATGAATGTGTGCGCGTGTGTGTCTGTGTGCATGTGTCTGTGTGTGCATGTATGCGTGTGTGCATGTATGTGTCTGAACACGTTTGTACGTGTGTGTGCATGTGCACATGTGTGCGTGCGCATGTCTGTGCATGTGTTTGTGTACATGTGTGTACGCATGTGTGTGCACGTGTTTGTGTGCACGTGTTTGTGTGTGTGTGTGTGTGTGTGTGTGTGGCCCGTGGGAACCGAAGCTCACCCCGCCTTTCCCTTCATGCCAGCAGCTCCCCACTCTCTGCCTGCTGGGATTTGAGGAGGACCATGACCTGTTTCTACCTGGTTCTGTTTTACGTCACGCTCATCATGCTCTCCAGACAGGTAGGCACTTCCGCACCCCTAGCTCAGCTGAGCCACGACCTCCTGCCCTGACGTGGAGGGTTGGCGCCGGCCGCACCCGGACAGGAGACAGTCCTGGGGAAGCCCCGGTGAGGCCCATCTCTCCTGTTGGGGACCCAGCTGTCTGCCGGGGCCCTGCAGGGAGGGCCGGGTGCTACAGCTGGCTGGGCTGCAGAGGTGCCCGGGTGCTGGCTGCCATGTGGGAGACATGCCCCAGCGCACAGGGTGGGCTGGCTCAGGAGCCCACGGGTGGCACGAGTTCCCTGCCACTGGAACCGGTGTGCCTGCTGCCCACAGATCGACTATTACTGCCGCCTGGATTATTTGTGGAAGAAGAAGTTCAAGAAGGAGCACGAGGAGTTCGAGACCATGGAGAACGTGAACCGTCTGCTGCTGGAGAATGTCCTCCCAGCCCACGTGGCTGCCCACTTCATTGGTGACAAGTTAAATGAGGTGAGGAAGGGGACCAGGGACAGAGGGAGGTCCCACTGAGAAGGCCTGGGAGGCCAGGCCCAGCTGATGGCAGGGTGCTGCCTCAGAACACAGCTTTGGGGCTGGAGAGATAGTACGTGGCCTCACTGAGTTTGATTCCCAGCACCTCATATGGTGCCCGAGCCTGCCAGGGCTGATCCCTGAGCACAGAGCCTGGAGTATGCCGTGGCATTCACATCCATAAAATGGGGCAGCGGTGCCTCCTGCTGGGCCGGACAGCTGGTGCTGAGGAATAAGGTGCATGTCCAGCCACCAGGGAGAGGGACTTACGGGTCTCCTGGCTGTCAGCTGCCCCTCACCCCTGGTCTCTTAGCCTGAGTCACACAGACCCACGCCCTGAAGAGCAAATCTTCACCTGAGCCTGGTCCTGGCTTCTCTCAACCGACTGCAGATCTCCTACTTTGTTTTGTTTTTTGGTCATACTTGGTGATGCTCAGGGGTTCCTCCTGGCTCTGCATTCAGGAATTACTCCTGGCGGTGCTCGGGAGACCCTATGGAATGCCGGGGATCAAAAACCCGGGTTGGCCACGTGCAAGGCAAAAGCCCTCCCCGCTGTGCTATTGGCTTCAACCTGGAGCCTCCTACTTTTTAATTGCCACTGGTTTGCCCAGTGGAGAGCCCCAGCAGGCTCTAACGTGCCCCTCTCTCGCTCCTCGATCCAGGACTGGTACCATCAGTCCTACGACTGCGTGTGCGTCATGTTTGCGTCCGTGCCGGACTTCAAGGTCTTCTACACGGAGTGCGACGTCAACAAGGAGGGCCTGGAGTGCCTGCGTCTGCTCAACGAGATCATCGCTGACTTCGATGAGGTGCTGGTGCACGGGGGGCGGTGGGCTGTGGCTGTGGCTTCATGGTTTCTGGCCACATGAGCCGTGCTCCTAGGGGTGCTGCCAGGCTGCACCAGCCCCTATGCAGGAGTCAGATGGTGGGAGGGTGGGGGCGGCTGGGGAGAAGCCAGACGCAGAGGAGGTGGAGCGTAGGTGGGGACAGCCCCTCTGCAGCACTGGCTGGCCTGCCCCTGCCTCACTCTGCGTTCTGGGTCCTGCAGCTGCTGCTGAAGCCCAAGTTCAGCAGCGTGGAGAAGATCAAGACCATCGGCAGCACCTACATGGCAGCGGCAGGGCTCAGCATTCCCTCAGGGCACGAGAACCAAGTGCGTGGCATTCCCTCGGGGCACGGGCACCAGTGCAGGCGGCCAGGGTCCCTCCCCCCACGCATCTCTGCTCACCCAATGCCTGCTCTGTCCCCCCCCCAGGAGCTGGAGCGGCAGCATGCCCACATCAGCATCATGGTGGATTTCAGCATCGCCCTGATGAGCAAGCTGGACGGCATCAACCGGCACTCCTTCAACAACTTCCGCCTGCGCGTGGGTGAGGAGTGCCCTGCTGCTCCCAGCTCCCGGTCCACTGGGGAATAAGCCTTTGTGTTTTTGTTTTTATTATTATTTATAGTTGTTGAAAGTGGTAAGCATAGGGGCCGGACAGTCACAGCACTTGTCTTGCACACCGCCAACCTGGCTTCAACCCTGATCGCTGGCACCACATACAGTCCCCTGAGCGAGCCCCGCCAGGAATGATCCCTAAATCCAGAGCCAGCAGTGAGCCCTGAGCACTGTCGGACGTGGCCCCCAAACAAAACAAATGAGAGTGGCAAATAGGAATATGCCACTGCAGAGAAGAGAGATCATCACCCCCCACCCCCCACCCCCCCCCAGCCAAATCACTGGCTGTACATGAGCGATGTGCGACCTGACCTTGATCTTATAATCTAAAACAATGGGGCTGGAGCGATATAGCACAGCAGGTAGGGTGTTTGCCTTGCACAGGGCCAACCTGGGTTCGATTCCCAGCATCCCATATGGTCCCCCGAGCACCGCCAGGAGTGATTCCTGGGTGCATGAGCCAGGAGTAACCCCTGAGCATCGCCGGGTGTGACCCAAAAAGAAAAAAAAATCTAATGAACAATGCCATTGACTCCTTTGAGCTAGGGGTCCGCCATTTATGTCTCTGAAGAAGGGAAGCAGCAGCCCCCAGACAGCCTCGTTAAGCCAGTTTTTCCAAGTCATAGTCTGAGGGGTACTTCCCGCCCCCTTCAGCTGCTTGGTGGTGCTTCCTGTGACTGTCCCCTCAGGACAGGAGCCCACCGCACTGCCCCTGGGCCCACTGCCAATGTTTCCTTTAGGCATAAACCATGGGCCTGTGATCGCCGGTGTGATCGGGGCGCGGAAACCTCAGTACGACATCTGGGGAAACACAGTCAATGTCGCCAGCCGCATGGAGAGCACGGGAGAACTTGGGAAGATCCAGGTAAAAACCCCGAGATCGAGGGACCGGGAGTCCCTCTGGGTGAGCAGACCTGGTTCTGCCGCCCTTCAGCTGTGTGAACCCCGCCAGAAACTTCCAGATGGGAAAACCAGGACATCCACATATGCTGCTCTTGGGCTGGTTCCTCCCCGGCTCTCTCGCCCTGGTTTTCCTCCTGCCTCACACGAGCTCTTCTTTCCCCCTCTCAGGTCACGGAAGAGACGTGCGTCATCCTCCAGGGCTTGGGCTACTCCTGTGAGTGCCGAGGGCTGATCAACGTGAAAGGCAAGGGCGAACTCAGGACTTACTTTGTCTGCACGGACACAGCCAAGTTTCAGGGGCTGGGCCTGAACTGAGGACTCCAGGTAGACGGGGGACACGCTGGAAGCCAATTCCCTTCTCTGAAGCAAGCTGGGGAGACAAGAGCCTGCCACCAAGGCAGGCCAGGGATGTATGCGCCCATAACCACAGATGATGGCAACTGTGCCTGCCTTCTCTGGGCTTGCGCACGAAGGCCGCTGGGATGTGTGAGCTGCAGCTCCAGCTTGAGGTGGCACTGGCCCACCTCACCACACAGGGACCCGAGTGCCAGGATGGGCCTCCAGGCTCCCCGCTGAGTTTGGCCGCCCCATCTCCCATCCCCCTAAGGTGCAGGACCAGGATGGGTGTCCACATCCTTTCTCCCCGACCAACCGGCAAGAGGAATCTACGCTTTCACTGTAGACTGGCACACAGGACGTCTATTTTAGTATGCGTGGTTTTCCATAGGAAAAAACAAGAAAAACAAAAAAGCATCGCAGACTTTTGTTATTTCTTGCCATCTCTGTCCGCTGGGTTGCTTCAAACGGCTACATTCTGAAACGGGCATTTCCTTTTAAGTAACTTCTTAGATGCCAGATAAAGCCTCTTCCTCCAGGGTCTTCTCGGCCTCTTTAAGCACTGACACTAGTAGGGCTCCCGCAGCGTCCGCTGTCTGCCTCGGGGCTGCAGCGCCGGGGAGGGGGGAACGTGGCTCCTAATGAAAAGGCCAGGAGCTTGGCGGGGACCTGGCTTTCCTTGCGTTGGTGGCTGAGGCCAGCATTCCACGGCAGGGTCAGTCGGGGAGAGCTCAGAAAAAAGGCCCTCGGCACTTCTCTTCAGCCTCCTGCTCTGGGGGCTCTTCCAGCAGTCTTGGCTGCCCCCCCCTTCCCCCAGCTCTCAGCCTGGGCAGAGGAGGCTCTGCAGAGAACCCCTTCGTTCCATTTCGTCAAGCCTCACAGCCAACTTGGAAGAGCTTCAACGGTCTCTGCCCCGTCTTAGGCAGGGGGTGCTGGGGACGCTTCCCTCATCCTGCTCACGAGCACTGAGATGTCTGTGAGCCCCAGTGAAATCAAGGTCGGTGCAAAGCCGGGCTGCCGGGGTGGCGCTTCACGTCCCCTGGGATGGACACAAGCCACCTGCTGGTTCTGCAGGTGGAGAAATCACCAAATTACCCATAGCGGGTGCTGCCACAGACCCAGTGTCTCAAAACCTAGTAGGTGACCTTCACTCTTTACTAAGGATCTTTAGCCCTGAGCTCTCAGAAATGAAACCGAAGGATCTTGCATATAGGAGATCTCAAAAGATGACCCAGGACCGCAGACAGAGCCATGAAGAAGTCAGACCTGCTTCTTTTATTCTGGGGCCTTACACAGCAGTGCTCAGGAATCACTCCTGGTGTGTGTGTGTGTGGTGGTGGTGGTGGGAGGGGGGCGGGTTGGGACACCATCTGGGGTGCTGGGGGGAGTGCTTGGGTCAGCCACATGCAAGGCAAGTGCCCTGCCTGCCTGTACTGTGGCTCCAGCCCCCAGGCCTTCTCGGGAGGGAGAGGCTGGGGCAGAGCAGACCATGTTGAGAGCAGCCTGGAGAAGGGACGGACCCAGAACCTGCACAAAGGTGCCAAGTAGTTCTTGGCAGCTCTGATGGGTCGGATGCAGTTGAAGTCACAATGAAATTTCCAGACCTCGTACAGAGGACTTTATGGGGCTGGGGTGTATATTTTGTATGTTGGTGGCTTGGGTTCGATCCCTGGCACCATGTGGTACCCAACCTGCCAGGGGCCTTCCTCAGGCACTGCTGCAACCCCAGAAACCAAAGAAAAGATGAATTTTTTGTAGAAAACGTTGGTAGGGAAACCAACCTTACAGATTGTTTTCTGGCTTCGACCTGAAGGCTGGGTTGCAGGGAGGCTTGTATGAAAACCTCTGTTCTTAAGTCCAGCAGCGAGTGGGTGTCCATCCTGGAAGGAGGAAGGTCTGGCTGCTGACCGTGGACACAGCAGTTTCTAGGTGCATTTACTCATCACTCCCATTTCTACCCGTGAAAGTGACTTCTTTGCGCTCAGCAACAGACACTGTAACTGGGATCTGAAGAAAACTCAACTGGCAATTATTTTTGTTCTCTATTTCCATAGGGCTGGGATGAGTTTTCCACTTTCAATGTTCAGGTCATAATGAATCAGGCCATAATGAAGAACCGAACATAAAAACCACCTGAAGTTCTTTTGACGCGTTATCAAGCCATTTCTTCAGAGGAGTCACTGTGTTTTATGACAGACACCTTCCTACTTGACCTTCAGAGGGGTCAAGGACATGCCTCACATTCTTCTGTTGCAGGGGCGGAGCAACAGAACAGTGGGTAGGGTGTTTACTTTGCATGTGGCCAACCTGGGTTCGATCCCCAGCATCCCATATGTTCCCCAGAGCACTGCCAAAAGTAATTTCTGAGTACAAAGCCAGGTGTGACCCCCAAAGCAACACCCCCCCAAAAAAAAACCAAAAACAAAATACCATTTTACAACAGTGGCAGCCTTATGACTTTCAATAGTGAAAACTACACCTGAAGTTTTCTGGTTTACTTATTAAGAAATTGCCTAACAAAAAGATGGTTAACTACAGTATACTTTGTGTATATTTCAATGTACAGAAATATGCGGAAAAGGGGGGAACTGGCATACTGAATATGTATGTATAGATCTGTAACATGTTTCAAAATGTTGTATTTCATTTTTAGAAAACACCAGCATTTTTACATTTTTATTTTCATATATTAAATAAGCATTCTGGAAAACCTATATGTCCTAAAGTGCCCTGAATTAAATATTTCTGGTTTTAAGAACTTTAGCTATGTAGACAAAAAAAAAAAAAAGTTTAGGCATCAGGCAGGGCCAGGGAAACAGCTCAGACATGCATGGTGAGGCTGTGAACAGAGTCCCTGATGGGCCCAGCACGGCCAAGTCTGCACTGCTGGGGAGACCCCCTCAACATCAGCAGAACTTGACTGTCAGTCATGGGGAGACCCCCCTCTCCACCAGCAGAGCTTACATGTCATGTCAATTACAGCCTGCCCTGGACTGATCCCTGGCATCACATGGTCCCTCCCACTCTGGCTGGGTGTTGTCCTGAAGGCGCCAGAGCATATTCAGGTGGCCAGGATAATTCTTGTCACCCCAGCACTGAACCTGTGGGCGCTCATATTAAACTGCTAGTCCAATTGGCCAACAGGCAGGGAGCGTTCCCTTTCTCGCTGACCAAAAGATTCAGACATTCAAACTTTTTATTTTTCCTTGGTGTATGTGTGTGTGTGTGTGTGTGTGATACCGGGCAGCGCTCAGAGCTTACTCCTGACTACCCTCAGTTCCACTTTTGGGGGTGCTTGGGGGAACTGTATTTTGTGCCAGGGATCAAACCAGGTAAGTGCCTTACCTACTGTACTAGCTCTCTGGCTACTTTTCCACTTTTTTTTAAAAACATTAGGTCATCTCTAACTTTGGAGTGGGTAGGGAGTTTGCCTTGCATGCGGCCGACCCAGGTTCGATTCCTCGATTCCTCTGACCCTCTCAGAGAGCCCAGCAAGCTACCGAGAGTATCCTGCCCGCATGGCAAAGCCTGGCAAGCTCCCCATGGCGTATTCGATATGCTAAAAACAGTAACAAGAAGTCTCATAATGGAGACATTACTGGTGCCCGCTCGAACAAATCGATGAAGAATGGGAGAACAGAGCTATAGTGCTAACTCTGGAGAGGATTTTTCTTTATTTAATTTGTTCACGATTTGTTTTCAAGGTTAAGGAAACCAGAAAAAAAAAAAAGAAGGAAGTCTTATGTAGAAAGGCTGAGCACGGTTTATACCTGGATGATTGTGGGGTGAGGGGATGGGACAGTCTGGTGACTGTGATGAGTGCTGGACTCCACGACAAGGTCTTCTACTTAGATGCTCAGGTACGTGACTGCTGTATCGCAGATGAAAGGGCCATCGGGTCAGGGCCACTGGGGACAGACAAACATCGACTCCTCTCTAAGCTCAGCCATCCAAGGATGGCTCAGTGTATCTTATTCTTTCACTGTAGTCGAGAGTAACAGTAGAGAGTGAAAAGAAGCACCCTCACAGCTTCCAGTCAGCAAGCTGACCCGACCCAATGTGTGGGCGCTCGGGCCAGGGTGGGGCAGCAGCTGGGGCACCGCCCCATCTCCTACTCACTTCCCTACTCTGGCGGGCAGAGGGGACAACCTAGGACATCCTAAGTTTTTTTTTTTTTTTAATTTTGTGCCAGAAACCCAAGGTCTACCACTTGTGAGACAAGTACTCTGCCCCTGAGTTATATAGCCCAGTCTCTGTCTTGTCATCAAGAGTGGACGTGCTCTCACTGTGCATGCAGACAAGGGGTTGGGGACCCAGTCACTGAGCTGGAGAGAGGCGGGTGCAGCAGGCTCTCCCCCTTCTGGAAGGACACGGCTTGGGGGAGCCCTAGCTCGAAGCCGCACTCGGCCTTCTCAAGGGCTCCTTATCTGAGCACGTCCACCGACAAAGCTGTGATACGTCATGGAACTCTTTGGCTAGAAGATCTCTGATGGGGGCCCAGAATGGTAGGACCGTGGGCAGGGTGCTTGCCTTGCATCTGGCCGACCCAGTACCTCAAAGGGTACCCCCCAGCTCTACCAGAAAAATGATCCCTGCGCAGAGAGCCAGGAGTCAGCCCTGAGTGCAGCTGGCTGTGGCCCCCAAAACCAAAACCAAAACCAACAATATCTTTAATGGGGATTGTGGCAAATGTGGGAAAATAAATGATTTGGGGGATTACGTCTATGGATGGGTGTCATGAAAAAGGCACTTTTTGCTGTGTGAGCTGCTTCTCTCCTTCCCACTTCATCCTCAGAATCAGCCCCAGGTCGAGATCAAGGGTAACTTAGCTGATAGCACAAGATAGCTCATTGAGATTCAGCTTTATTACCTAATAATGGAAGTCCAATCTCTGGAACATTAAAATTAATTGTTCCAAGGTTTAATTAAAAACACAATTTATAAATATTTAATATCTTCTGAAAAGCATCTCCAAGTTAAGAGTGAAAAAATATGTACACAGTCTCTACTCCAATCCCAGCCGCTCACAGCCCGTCGGGTCCACACTCAGCCACTGCCGTTTTCCTAGGGTCTTCCAAATCTAAAAGGAAAAAGAGCTGCCGTCAGCGCCTCCCCCAGTGTTTTAAAAGGGACGGGCAGGGATCAGAGGGACAGGCAGCATCCCGAGTGGGTGTTCGAGATGAAAGGCGCTCATCACTGCTGGCAGACAAATGTGTGACATCACTGATTTCTTTAGACGAGACGAAAAGAATCAAGGTCCACTTCAAACACAGCAAAACAAAAGCTTTAAAGCGTCACCTACAGGGAGAGGCACGGCACCGCCACTCTCCTGGAGACACAGGGGACGTACCTTCTGTTAAATCTACCAAGTTGTTTTCTATGACAGGGGAGGGGACAGAAATCCCCATTGCTTTCCGAACTCCGTACGTGCTGACGATATCACCCGGGGTTACTTGCTGTGCGAGCTCTTTAAGATTATTGGTCACTTGTTCAGCTAGAAAGAAAAATAGTAACAGTTCTAGATACTGAACTACTCTTCCT